ACACAGATAACTAAAACAAAACCGTATATATAAAAATTTAAAATCACTCCAGGTTTGTAAATTATGGAGTTATAGTCTTATGCTAATTTGTGTGTGTATATTTGACTCATCTTAGTATTGCTGCAAGTAAAATATAATAGTCTAATAACAGACACTGATAAAAACACACTAAACTATGTGAAGCTTAATAACAACCAAAAAATTAGGTTTGTGTATAATGAAGGTGTTATGTAACCTCCCTTGTGCTGAAAAAAATTCTTTAAAAATGTAGATTTGTCATTCTTAAATCATAAACACTACTCAACCAAAAAGATTAATAGTAAAATTTTCTAAACCTTAAACAAATTGGGTTTCAAGTTCAATTAGTTCCAGAGGCATGAACAGACTAGGAATTAGAAGGGAAGAAAGCTCCCATGAACACCTACTATGCCAGACAATTTATTTACTCAACACATTTATTGAGTGCCTATTATGAGCCAAGCACAAGAGATAAGGCAGTAAGAAAGCCCTTAACCTCATTGGACTTTCACAACAATCCTCATTTAACTTTCACAACAAGCCCTTAACCTCATTTAACTTTTCACAACAGGTATGATTATTTCCATAAGCCTCAAAAAATATGAAGAATATGGTCAAGGTGCTAGCCCTAGAATACAAATTTAAGTCTGTCTAATCCTAAAATCCATGCTTTACCAGTCTCCCTGACACTATGCTACCTACTGAAAGTAGAGAAGCAGGCCACCCTCTCTAAGCATGGTGATAATATCAAACCAGTTAACCCTATAAGGTGGCTGCTGGTAAAGATTAACTGAGAGAATGTTAGAAAACTATGTAGTACTACTCAGAAAAGTCAACTAACTTGCCCAAGATCACCTAGCTCGTAAATGGAAGAGGCACCACTCACAACAAACTCTCCTGATTCCAAAGTTTGAAGTAGTACACCCGTATACTACCCAAGGATACCCATCTCCAACTGCCAGAATTTAATATGCAAACATGTAACAGATGTTCAGTAAATAACTTGAATTGGTTTCATTTAGTTTAATTCACAAAAACCTGAAGATTCAAGTCTTTCTTTGGTTCTGTTTCCCTTACATTTAAAATTTAGAACTGAAAATCAACACATGCTGAAGAATCACTGGGGCCCCTGGGTTTTCAGTGACCACATCCTTATGCTGAGTGCACCAAAATCTAGATCTATTGCACATTTAAGCCCAAATCCCATATTATTTAATAGCATTTCAGACCTTCACAGGATATTACATGTAGTTTTGACACAATCATAAATTTGAAGCACAAAGTGTAAAGTTATGCTTGTGTAACTCATAATGGCTATAAGCCACATCTTATTTTATGTTTTTCTCAGATGTCTCTAAAAACATAGACAATTTTATATAGCTTGTCACATTCTTTTGAGTCCTACTGGAGCTTTATACATACACTATGAACACGCTGCTACTTGTACTACATTTCAAGGAACTGCAATGAGGAAAATAAAGCTACTAGCATCCCATATTTAAGCAAACTTGATACTTCTATTGATATAAGCATTTGATAAATGTGTAATACGAAAAGGGTTACGCCATAAGACACAATTTTTCATGAAACTATGAACTACAATTTGTCATGAAACTATAAACTACAAAAACATGAAACTAAGTAGTCGGATTGTTATTGCTGAATATTTCAAAATACATGATGCTTAAGTTTAAATTTAGATAAATAGGTTCATTACTCTAAATTCTGGTAAAGGCCATATTCAGTTATTAAAACTGAATATAAGCAACACAGTATTCAGGATAATGAATTTTACTTGAGCAATTACGAGTATTTACAAATAATTTAAACCATTTCATTCGATCTCAGTTAATTAAATGGATGCATATGAATGTACATTACACAGAAAGGGAAAACTATTTGCAATCTTCCCTTCACTCCCTTTTATGCTAAAATTAATGTTATACCTATTGGCATAAACTTACAAGTCACCTTGAGCATATATATATATAGATAGATAGATAGATAGATAGATAGATAGATAGATAGATATAGATATATATATACACACACACATATGTAAAGTTAAAAAATATAAAGCACAAGTAAAACATAAAAATAAGTGTGCAAAGTTACAAAGCAAAAAAGTTTTTATTCTCTTGCAACTACACATGTAATGCTATAATTATCAGATTTTAATTAAAGTCATTTTACTTTAAATACCTATAAGACAATGCAGAAGTGGCAATTAAAATTTTCTACTCAGAAAAAAGTTTACATATTGTTGAACTACTCAAGCCAATCTTGTGTTCATAACTATTATTTCATAATAAATCTAGATGACTTACTATTACTCAACCTTTAACTAGTGCCCCAGCTCAAAATCATCAGCAAACTTTTTGAGAAATTATATATTTCAACCTTCATTGAAAATGTACAATATTTACAGATATTTTATCATTATTTTAAAATTTCTACATTTGTACTACAGAAACAAGCTCTGTTGCTTTTCCTTACTTCTCTTTAAAAATCCTAAGTAAAAGTATTCTTGAACATTGTTTTCAAGTTTAAATNTGTGTGTGTATATAGACTAATCAGTTTTATTTTTAAATTTGAACCTGTTTCTAATAAGTTTTCAAACTAATAAAGCAAATGAAAATATCATCTGAAACCTAATATTATATAAACATAAACTGTTTCATAAAAGAAACATCAAGTACTATCCTGATTATTTAAAATTTAAATTAACTTTTCATACTTGATATAACTATTCCTTATAAAAAATCCCTAATGACCCTAATATCAGAGGCTACTCTATGTAATACTAAAAATGAGAAAACTATTTATTCATTTTAAAAATCAATAGATTAAATGATCTTTCTTTAAAGTATTAATATAATATTCTCCCTCCACCCCTCTTTATGTGTCCTAATGACAAAGAAGTGGTTTCTTTATAGAGAAAGGACTATTTTAAGTATGCCTGCTGGGCATTTCTGGTAAGCAACTAATAAGAAATGGAGTGTTTGATAAACTAGACAAAGCATTCCCTTGTACTGTAAATTGTAGTATAATTCTACTGGTTGACTGGTCTGAAACATTCTATAGTAATTGGAGTCCTGCTTTAGTCTACAGTCTATTTTGTCATGGCATATAAAAGCTACCCAGTATATTAAATTGCTCTAGGTTTTATTAAATTATTAAGGAGTTAATCAAACGTTCTGATTTTTTTACATATACATTAAATATTTCCTCCTGAAGTCCTTAACTAATTATTAAGATGAAATACTGTGCATGTTAACAATTTCTACTGCAGACAAGGCTGAATTATTAAAACAAAAATGCTTTGTTTTTATAAAATTCAAAAGTGGAAATATCACCAAATTTAACAATCACTTAAAATTAAACCACAAGTATACTAATCAAATCATAGACTAGCAATAATACAAATTTATGAACCAGGCTAGAATCAAGTGAAACTGGAATATTCCTTCAGCACCGAGAACAGTAACTGGCACATAGAAACTCAGTGTTTATTGAATAAATGAATTAATCAACCAACCAATTGTCAGTTGCCTATAAATTGGTAAAGCTTTTAGGAAATACAATATAGGAATTACCTATAGTAGTTATCAGCCATAAAGACCCAGTAATGATACTAGTAACTGATCCTAATGAAGCAAAAGATCGTGATGAAAATCACTGCGATAGTAGTGGAAACTATCTATTAGCACCTAACATCAGGGAACCAGTCACATAGATTAGGGAACACCTACCCAATTAAATACTATAAAGATTGGGGGAAAATAATGTTAACAAAATGGTAACAATGTTAAACCTCTTGTACAATACAGGATGAGAATACTAGGGCCAGCCGAGTGGCACATTGGTTAAGAGATGGCTTGGGATGCCAGCTCTGAGTAGCATGGCCCCGGTTCAGATCCCACATTAGGACCAGTAATTCTGCGCCCTCCACAGCTAAGATGATGAACAACAGCTTGACCTGGAGCTGGGCTGCCGTGAGTCACCGGCGATGGCTTAGGCTGCCAGCCCCTGCTGCAGTGGGCTGCCATGGGCTACTGTGTGTAGCCAGCAGCC